GAGAAGCTATGACTTGTTTCCACCCCGGCGGGGGACATGGCAGATGAGACTTCCAGATTGTCCTGGTAGCTCCTGGTCGAGATGAACTCCGCTCATCGCCGTTGCTGGCGTTTTGCAGGAAGTGCAAGTGGGGAGACTCCAGCTAACTCTGGTTGCTATTGCAACAACCCTTTGACCTCAATTGGCACCCAAGTGACAGCCGACGGGACCAGGACATCTCACGTCTCAGCTTTTCCTAACCAAGGGGTAGCTGGGGCTTGGCAAGAGGGACCTCAAAGTCAGTGTCTTAGGACAGACTCATTGTGCTGGCCCCGAGAAAAAGCGATTGATTTTTCCACCTGCACCTTTTATCATTACTCAAGACTTGAGGAGCAACTGCACTGCAGGAAGCTCAGGCGTGCAGCTGTGAGGCGGGACCAGAAGTCTTTGGAGGGGCACTGAGCGACATCCGGGCGGTACGCGGGCGGGCTTGCTCTGCTCCGATGATCTCTGCAGGTCTCTTCCAGCCCTACTTCTTGATCATTTGAAAGGCCACTGTGGCAATTCCAGCCAATAATCCAACATGGACCTGCATGCATCCCTCAGCTGGGAAGACTGTCCCTGGCCACAACCTACCTTCGATGCCAGCTGGCAGTGCCCAGCCCAGAGCCGCGAGGACAAGGCTGTGGCGAGTGGATTCCAACTTGGGTTGGAAGGGGGCCGGTTGCTTGGTCTGATGAGGAGACCAATGTCCTTCCCTTGTCTGGGGACTCTGGATGGATCTCCAGGGCTCAACCAGCTTTGTTCCCATATCCTATTGACTCCAGTCCCTGAGCAAAGGCCTCTGGGTCATTTGCCCGCTAGCCAGGTCTCCAAGCTCATTGCAAAACCCAGTCACCCACCTTTCTACATGGCCGAGCGAGACAACAACCCCCCTCCAACAAGGGGACAGTGCCCCAACCCACTTCAGCCTCCTTCCAGTTTCCCACCTGCCGTGACTCAAGCCTCCAAGGATTCAGCTCGTGTCTTGATTTTGTGCCACCATCTAATAGTTCCCTCCCTGCAGGAGCCTCCTTTCGGCACGCTCCCGCCCTCCTGCCTCCACATCCTGCGTCAGCTCTCGAGCTCCCACAGCAGCCACCCCAGTCTCCCTAGTCTGGTCCCTACTGGCCAGCCCAGCCCTTCTTTGAAGGGCAACCAGTCTATTAAAACAAGGAGAGACTTTGGCCTCCTACAATAGCTCTGGAGACCCCAAAAGTCTTCCAGGGCCTGCTAAGAAGACACCATGGCCAGATGAAGAAGAGCAGAGACTGCATCCATAAAACAAAGAGGAAAGGGATCTTGGGTTCAAATCCCACTCCTAGCTCCAACTTCACCTTCCCGGAGCAACCCATGGCTCGAGGAAGGAGAAGTAGGTCTGAGCAGGCACCACCCGCCACCCAGGGCTACCCCACAGAGCAGGTTAGGCTTAAAAGTTTGTGCAACAATCCCATTCTCACACCAATTTCTCTTGGTCCAGCCCCTTCTGCAGGTTCGTAAGCCTGGATAAAGGGAAGCTCTTGGCTTTATAGCCCTGAAATTGGATGCGAGATTAGACCACCGGCAACCAGGAAGTTGGTCCCCTTGCCCGTGCCTCAGTTTCCCCCTGGTTTCTCATTGAGAGCAGAGCCTGTGTCACCATCATGGTGCTCCGATGCACAGAGTTCTTCAGCCCACAAAAGCAGCTAGACCAGACCAGTAGGCCCATCTAGCCCAGTATCCCATCTCCCCTGGTCTCTGGAGCCTCCCCCTCCCCCAGAGTGGTCTGGCTGTCACGCTCCGTCTCTGCTCCCAGCACCCCATGTCCCAGGGAAGGACTTGCCAGCTGCGGGGGTGGGGGAGGATGGCAGCCACCTCTTACAGCCCTCCTGCTGTGACACCTAAATGGGGAAAAAAGGGCACCCATTTTGTTCAATTTCCATGGTGTTTGGACCCAATTCCAGGCCACTTTCCAAAACTGGCATCGTTTTGGGTCTACCACATGGGGAAAAGACAACATATTTTCTCTGGAGCTCTCATAGCAGTTCCAGGCCAAAATCCTTTCCCAAAGCTGCCGTCTTCAGCCTCCCTCCAGCTCTAGCCTTCTGACTCCAAAGTTCACCTGCGTCTGCCCTGCTATCACGGACTTCCTGGGATACGTCCCTGACACAACCAGAACGGGGAACTGAGAAGAGGCAGCTGATGTACGCTGGCTCCACGGTGACGGAGCAAGTTCCTCTCCCCGGCACGAGGTTCCCCAACACCTTGGAAGACGGCAACTTGGCCAGACCAGCTGGCCCCAACTGGGCTGCCCAGTGATCCCATGGAGTTGGTAGGTCCTGGGAAGGCATGATCATAAGTGTGGGGTCTTCCACGTCACGGCAAAGCCAAGAGGGGCCACCCCAGGCAGCGGTTGCGTCTTTCCATTAGTGGAAAAGGGTGGAGCGCCCCAATGGCTCATGGCAACCAGGCTGCCAACCTTGGACATTACTGCAGGCTACTTACCGGCACCTCCTGGCGTGGGGACGTGGACACCCAGGCTTGTCCTGGAGCAGGAACGTGGAAAAACCCAGGTCCCCTCCTGTCAGTTCACAGAGCACCCTGCCCTCACCCCATTGCAACCCCCGTCCCCTGCAATCTGCCCCTCCAGACCCCCCTCCCCCAATCAGGGGGTCTCTGCTAGGTGAGAGCACCCCAATTTCTGGGGTAAAAGGGCATGTGGCATAGAGAAACTGGGGTCCCTCCAGCAGAGTAGAAGGTTTTGGGGTGAGACAAGGGGCAGAAATTCCACCCCCCGCCCTGCCCATCCTCCCCTCCCCCAATAAGCCACGGGGGCCACCGTCCACATCCATGTCCAAGAGAAGCCCCTACCCTCACGCTGTACAAGTGGGGTGGGTATAGGCCAGCCCCGCCCCCTCCCCACCACCAGGCTCAGCAGTGGTGGGCAGTGCCCGGGGGCGGGGCTGGGGCCCAGGCTCCTCCCCCGGGGCCCGGTCATAGGCTTCGAGGATGGTCTGGCGCTCCTGGGGTGTGAAGTCAAGGGAGAAGGGGTGGACCTGGCGAATGTGGCGCTTGATGGTGCTGACCTTGAGCGTGGCCAAGGCCCCGCCGCACACCATGCACACCAGCCCCTGGCGCCGCCCATCGAAGTCCATGAGGAACTGGGCCAGCCAGTGCTGCTGGTAGTTCCGCCGCTGGCTCCGGCCCCGGGCCGGCCCCCCAGCGCCACCCCTGCCCCGGGGGACCCCAGCGTCCGGGCGGGGGGCAGGCGGCAGTGGTGTCTCAGCCCCTCGGGCATCCTCAGAATGGTTGTCCTCCTCCTCTTCCTCCTCCTCCTCTTCCTCCTCTTCTTCCTCCTCCTCCTCGTCTTCCTCCTCCGGCATTTCTTCTGGGCTGGGCAGCTGCAAAGGATGCTGGGAATCTGTGCCGGAAAAGGCGACTGTTGGGTACAGCAGTGGAGGGGGGTGTAGCACCCCCATCTCCGCTAGTGGGGGGGCTGCAACTAGGTACCACTAGGGGACAGGGATGGGGCTCCCCTTACCTCCCCCAACCCTGGAGTTGGTCCCATTCACATGCCCCGCCCCTCACCCCACACGCCTTCCCTGTGTGCCCCCACACCCCAACCTCACCTCCCAGTGCCCTCCCACTTACTAGGTCAACCCCCCAGTTCCTCCCTCCTCACCCCCAGTGGCCCCCCACCTTCGAAGCCGGGCTCCCAGGCCTTGCCAGCGGCCAAGACGAGGGCACGGGCGCGCCAGGCCTCGAGCACGGCGGCCTTTTCAGCAGGGCCGAAGGTGAGCGAGGCGGGGTGGGCGGTCAGCACGTGGTGCTTGATGTCGTCCAGGTGCAGGCTGGGCAGGCTGCGCCCGCAGGTCATGCAGCGCAGCCGGTTGCCCTGGGCGTCGTAGTCCATGAGGAACTCGGCCTGGAACCAGCCCTGCAGGGACTCGCGCACGTAGCGCTCCAGGCGCCGCGCGCCCCCGCCCACCTTTACCGCGCCCACCCGCCGGCTCCGCGGGCCCCCCGCCGACGCCAGCCCCGGGCCTGTGAGGAAGACAAGAGAGAGAGAGAGAAGGGGAGAATGAGGCCCAGCGTGACCACAAAGTCTGCTCACCCCCACTGCCAGCCCCAGCTCCATGCGGGGAGAGAGGGGGGTCATGCGGCCCAATGCGACCACGAAGCCTGCCCGCCCAGGCCCGCCCTAGGGTGACCATCTGTCCCTAATTGGGCAGGACAGTCCTGCAATGGGAACCTCAAGCCCGGTCCCGGGACACAGGACCCCAGGACACACGCCGTCCCGGATTCGCAGTGTCTGCAGGGACCCACGGCGGGTTTCCCCTTGCAGGCGGGCGGCGTTCCAGCCTGCCCGGGGCTGCCGGGAGCGGGACGCGGGGGGTGCCATGCGCACGTGCATGCCTGCACGCATGCGCGTGGCCAGGAATACAGCCGGGCAGCGTGGAGAGCAGCTCCTTGCAGATAGGTCAGTGGGGGGAGCGGGCAAATTGAAGCTGCCACTGTCAGGGAGGGAGTGGGGCAAGGTCTGGGGGCACTGCCCAGCCACAGCGGTGCACGGGGTCAGGGCATGGTGTGGGATGGAGCCAGGGGCCGAGGGCACATGCCCAACCCTCCAGATTTGTGTGCAGGGCAGGGGCAGATGTGGGCCACCAGCTGTAGGCTCGGGACTCCCTGACTTTCTGCCCTGCCCCTGCCACTGTGGCAAGATGCCCCCCACCCACCTGGCAGCAGCAGGGGCAGTGGTGTGGAGTTGTGCCCCTTGCTGCTGCCAGGTGGGCAGGGGGTGCGCAGGCAGCCCACACCCTCCCTGCGTGGCTCTGGCCTGGCTGCGCTGTCGCCGGTGGCAGAAGGGGGGGGCGGGCACATATGTCCTACCTTTCCGTTTTGAAAGGTTGTCACCCCAGCAAACCCCCACCCACCAGTGCCAGCCCCAGGCCTGCGGGGCGGAGAGTGAGAGAAGGGGCTCTGCAGCCACGAAGCCTGCTTGCCAGCTAACCCATGCCAGCCTCCTGCCCGTCAGTGCCAGCCTCAGCCCCACAGGGAGAAGTGGGGGGGCAGCCTAGCGCGGTGCCAACGCCTGCGCGCCCAAGCCAGTCCTAATCCGCACCTGGTACCACAGCCCTAGGCCTGACGGGAGGGGAGGGGAGTCCTGGCACCGGCATGAAGCCTGCCTGCTCACGTCAACTCCCACTGCCGGTCCTGGGTCCGTGGAGGGCAGCAGAGGCGGCGTGAGGCCAAGCATGGCCACAAAGCCTCCTTGCCCATGCCAACCTTCCCCCCAGGCCTGAGGCCAGCGGTGGGGGTCTAGCATGGCAACAACGCCTACCCACCCATGCCAACCCCTGGCACCAGCACCAGCCCTGGGCGTCAGGGGTGGTGCGAGGCCTGCCCACCCATGCTGACACCAACCCCAACCCACCAGACCCCCAGGGCAGGCGGGCAGAGGGAGACCTGACCCCCACTGGCTGCGCAGGCCACTGCCCTGCCCTGCCCCCCAAGCACTGCCAAGGGGCACCCCAAGGCCTCCCTACCAGGTACCCAGCCCTTCCCTCAACCCTATGCCAGGCCCTGGGGGTACAAGACATGGCCCTCAACACACACCTCGATCCCATGTGGTCTATCTACCCCTCCCCCCCACTCCATAGCCCCATCTACCTTCACCCCCCACATGCACCCCACAGCCCTGGCTCCATCTCCCCTCTCCATGGCACTTCCCCCAGCCCATCTACCCCCCACCCCCAACTCCCCTGTCATCCCAGCTCTGTCTGCCCTGTTACCCCACCCCACATCCCCCCTTCAACCCCAACTACCTCCCACCCCTGACCTGTCTGCCCCCCCAACCCCACTTCTCCCAGTCCCATCTACCCCATCTCCCTTCCCAGCCCCTCACTGCCCCTCTCCCCTTGGCCCCATCTGCCCTCCTGGTCCTACCTAACCCCACCCCAAGCCCAGACAGGGGGAAGGCCAGCGCCTACCTGGGGACACAGGGAGCCCACGGGGTGCCCCACCGGGGCCTGGCTCCAGCCCCAGGTGGGCATCCCAGCTCTGAATGATGACCTGCTTCTCGCGGGGTCCCCAGCCGCCCGAGTAGGGGTGCTTCTGGCGGATGTGGCGCTTGATGGTGCTGAGCTTGAGGGTGGCCAGGGCGCTGCCGCACACCATGCAGGTCATGCCGTGCCGCGCCGCGTCGAAGGCCATCAGGTACTCGCCGCGCCAGTGCTCGTGGTAGTAGCGCCGGTGGTCCCGGCCCGGGATGCGGCTGCGGCCCGGGCGCGACGCCCGTGCCTCGCAGTGGTCCGGGTACTTGCGCCCGCCCCCCGCCGGCCGCTCCCAGGCTGGACCCCCTGGGACCAGCTCAGGGGTGTCCTGGGGCAGGGGGAAGCCTGCAGGGAGGGAGAGAGCGCAATGGGGGGCTGTGGGGCAGGAGCGAGGGGCACTAGAAGGGAGACACAGGGGCTATGGGGCGGGAGTGGGGGGCACTGGCAGCAGTGCCAGATTATGGCACGCCGAGGCCTAAAACATACCCAGGTGAGGAGGCCCCATACGATAAAAATAATCCGTGACATCCACAAAAATGGATGTTCATGAGACATTAAGATGAATTATTGTTATTTCTGCACAAATTTATGAACTCAGTATGAATGATAACTGTGGAGCCATGCAGATGTATAATGTTGTCATATCAGAGCCAAAATGTCCAGGGGGTTTTTTCTTATTTAGAGGCCCCTCGTATCATGAGGCCCTGAGCTGCCGTTTAAGAAGCTTATGCCTAAATCTGGCACTGACTGGCAGGGCCACGGGAGGGCAGGGGGCTGCGGGTCGGGAGCGAGGGGCACCAGCGGGGCTGGGGGCTGCAGGGTGGGAGGAGCACCATGGGGGCGGGGGTGTGTTCAGAGCTGTAAAGCATCTGGGATGCTGGAGGGCTCTGGTTTAACTTAAACCAGGGAGGGGTCTGGGACAGACATTGCATAAATTGTTTTGACCCAAATCAGTTAGGTCTGATACTACATTCAACCAGGTTTATCTTAAACCAGTTTTGTCCATTTTGAAACTGGTTTATGTACACTGAAATTTTGTTCTGTTACAGTTTTAAACCAGTTTCTGATCACTTACGCTGGTTTGTGTGTAATGTCTGTCCCTTGCCTGGAAGTTGATCACCACTGATCTAGATAAATAATAAAAAAGATAGTATTCTGAAAATATTTATTTGTATTTTAAATGATTTCTTATTGGCTTGCTTTTAATGAATATTTGTGTAACATCTTACCAGCAAGAATATTTTGACTCATGAATTTCAGAATGGTGCCAGGTAATGTATTTTTACATACTAGCATTTACACCAGAAGTGCTTGCATTTCGTGTTTAGTAAGAAAACAGAAACAATATAAGGGCACTTTATCTAACCAATTAGAAAACAACATACATTAAACCTAGACTATTTGTGGACAGTCTACACCAAAAAATGATCTCATTAGACATTAATTGAATACATCTGAATAATGAACACTTTTGATTCTATTGCAATGTACTTGCAGATAATCTCCGAAGAACAAAAATGAGCCATATACATTATTTATTCATGTGTGTTAGTCTTTCAAACCTAATATCTTGGGCTGAATCTTGAAACGATTCAAATTGCTCTCACAGCAGGGTTACTGAGATTTTCATTCTCTTCCCATTCCCATCCTCATCGCCATCCCCATTCTCTTCCAACTTCCAGGTACTCTATGCCCGATAGTAATATGTTCCACCATGTAGTACAGTTTTCATACAGTGTTACCATGAGTGGTTAAATTGTTAAATACTTCATCATTGGGTTTCTTTGCAATAAATTCAGGAATTGGTTCACACTTTCAATTCAATTAAAGGAGAGAAGAAAGTCTCCAGGAGCAAATCTGGAACCAATTATTTTTCTCAGTCAGAATTTGAGTCAGATCAATGACTCAGAGTCAGATCAATGCTTCTCCTTCAAGCCAATAGGAGGTCACCCCATTCCCTAGGGGAAATCTACTTTCCTTCTGCACTGGCACAGCTGTATAGGAAGGGGGAAGTTTCTGCCCACTCCCTGACCATTCACATTTGCAGGAGAATGGAAACCTGGTGATAGGGTCTATAATGTGAGGTTTAGCACTGCAGATAGCTTCTTAGACTTTTTTATTTTATGCACTTCATAATGAGTTGCTGCCAAAAAAAGAGAATCTAATCTTCAAAAAGCTGTTTATTAAGAAACCCTACTCCAAACTGAATGATGGTCCCCCGGTGGGGCGGGGCGGGGCGGGGCGGGGCAGAGAGCCCGGTGCCTATAGAACGGGCCTGTCCCCTGTAGGAGCTCTGGGGTGGAGACCAGCGCATACCGACAGGCCCTGGCTCCTCCACACCCCCGGGGGCCGGAGACCACTGCCCAGGGACAGGCCCTGCTCCCTATAGAGCCACGAGGGGGCGGAGCCTTCCTATAGACCACGCCCCCTCGGAAGCTATAGGGGCCCTAACTATGTAGTCTTTGCCTAGATGGAGCCCCAAAGGAGGCGGGGGGGCTATAGCAATCCTTCCCCTATAGAGCACCCAAGGGGATAGAGCAGCTCCATCCGCCTAGCAACCCTCCCCCTATAGAACCCCGGGGAGCGGGACTGGGTCCCCATAGCAACCCTCGCCCTATAGAACCCGAGGGGGGCGGGGCTGAGTCCCCATAGCAACCCTCCCCCTATAGAACGCCCGCGGGGGCGGGGGCGGGTGCCAGGACAGCGCGGGTCGGGAGCGAGGGGCAACCGCGGGCTGCAGAGGACCAGATCACCCCCGGACCTCCAGCACCATAGAGTCCCGCGGAACGAGCGGCCGCCAGCCCGGCCAGCCCCACTTTATGGTGTCATTGTCCGCCGGGCGCCCTCCACCTCCTGCAGCCAATCGCCGCCCTCCTTCCCAGCTCCGCCCCCGCTGCTGCCAGCCAATCGCGAGTCTCTGCCTGCCCTCGCCCTGCCCCTTTAGCGCCTGCCAATCACGCCCGAGGGGCGGAGCGAGAGCCCTGGAGCACCCTACCCCCGTCTCGCGGGGACAAATCTCGTGCAGTCCCGGAGCCCCCCGCGTTCTGTAGGGGGCGGGTTGCTATGGGGACAACCCGCCCGGGGGCGTTTATGGGGGGCGGGGGTGCTATAGGGACACAGGCTCCTTTTGGTCTCGAGGGGGACGGTTACTATGGGGACACAGGGGCAGTTGGGTGAGGAAACTCAGATCTAGGCTCTGTGTGTGTGCGCGCGCGCGCGCGCAAGGTGGCACACCCGGGGCGGGGTGTGCTCCCGTGTACGGACATATTTGCCTGGCCTGGTCTGCCTCAGTGTGCGTGTAGAGGGGGGGTGCAGTCACACACTTGGGTGTGTACAGGCTTGCACAACCAGTATGGACGTGCGTATGTGTATGCACAGTCGCACTCCAGGCTGTGCCTGTTTGCATGCACACTTGCACACCCACGTGTGTGTGAGCATGTATCCTATACTTCTGGGTTCTGTGTCTGTGGGTGGGTGCCCCAAACACCGGGGGGGGGGGGGGGTGCGTGCATGCACAGTCACAGGCTTATCTGTGTATGTGTGCACAGCAGCATGCCCAGGTGTGCCCCTGTGCACCAGGTATAGCTGGCACACTCACATACTTGGGTGCATGCAGAAGGGCACACCACATTTGCACATGGCTGTGTCTATCCAGTGTCCGATGCCTCTGTGTGTGTGTGTGTGTGTGTGTGTGTGTGTGCACAGCTGCTGGCCCAGGTGTGCACATGTGAACAGCTGCACATCCAGGTGTACGTGTGTGTGTGTGTGTGTGTAGGTAGGTGTGTGCACCGTCGCAGGCCCAGGTATGCAGTTGCACACCCAGGTGTGCGTGTGTGGAGCTGCACATCGGGCTCCGTGTGCACGTGCGTGCATACACACCCGTGACCCCAGCCACCAGCTCCGCTACCCGCGCCCCCAGAGGCCAGGGG